CCGCGCACCCTGTGAGTGACTACCGTAATACCCCTAATATAGCCGCGCACCCTGTGAGTGACTACCATAATAACGTTAATATAGCCGCGCACCCTGTGAGTGATTACCGTAATACCCCTAATATAGCCGCGCACCCTGTGAGTAACTACCGTAATACCCCTAATATAGCCGCGCACCCTGTGAGTAACTACCGTAATAACGTTAATATAGCCGCACTGCGCGCCTTGTCGGTGACTGATTACCGTAATACCCCTAATATAGCCGCGCACCCTGTGAGTGACTACCGTAATAACGTTAATATAGCCGCACACCCTGTCAGTGAGTGACTACCGTAATAACGCTAATATAGCCGCGCACCCTGTGAGTGATTACCGTAATAACGCTAATATAGCCGCGCATCCTGTCAGTGATTACCGTAATACCCCTAATATAGCCGCACACCCTGTGAGTGATTACCGTAATAATGCTAATATAGCCGCGCACCCTGTGAGTGGTTACCGTAATACCCCGAGTATAGCCGCACTGCGCGCCTTGTCAGTGAGTAACTACCGTAATAACGTTAATATAGCCACGCACCCTGTGAGTGGTTACCGTAATACCCCTAATATAGCTGCACTGCGTGCCTTGTCAGTTAGTGATTACCGTAATAACGCTAATATAGCCGCGCACCCTGTGAGTGATTACCGTAATAACGCTAATATAGCCGCACCACGCGCCTTGTCAGTGAGTGATTACCGTAATAACGCTAATATAGCCGCGCACCCTGTGAGTAACTACCGTAATAACGTTAATATAGCCGCACTGCGCGCCTTGTCAGTGACTGATTACCGTAATACCCCTAATATAGCTGCGCACCCTGTGAGTGATTACCGTAATAACGTTAATATAGCCGCACTGCGCGCCCTGTCAGTGACTGATTACCGTAATACCCCTAATATAGCCGCGCACCCTGTGAGTAACTACCGTAATAACGCTAATATAGCCGCGCACCCTGTGAGTGACTACCGTAATACCCCGAGTATAGCCGCACTGCGCGCCTTGTCAGTGAGTTACTACCGTAATAACGTTAATATAGTCGCGCACCCTGTGAGTGGTTACCGTAATAACTCTAATATAGCCGCACTGCGCGCCTTGTCAGTGAGTGGTTACCGTAATACCCCTAATATAGCCGCACTGCGCGCCTTGTCAGTGAGTGGTTACCATAATACCCCTAATATAGCCGCACTGCGCGCCTTGTCAGTGAGTGATTACCGTAATACCCCTAATATAGCCACACTGCGCGTCTTGTCAGTGAGTGATTACCGTAATACCCCTAATATAGCCGTTCTGCGCGCCTTGTTAATGAGTGGTTACCGTAATACCCCTAATATAGCCGCGCACCCTGTGAGTAACTACCGTAATAACGCTAATATAGCCGCGGACCCTGTGAGTAACTACCGTAATAACGCTAATAGAGCCGCGAACCCTGTGAGTAACTACCGTAATAACGCTAATATAGCCGCACTGCGCGCCTTGTCAGTGAGTGATTACCGTAATAACGCTAATATAGCCGCGCACCCTGTGAGTAACTACCGTAATAACGCTAATATAGCCGCGCACCCTGTGAGTAACTTCCGTAATAACGTTAATATAGCCACGCACCCTGTGAGTGATTACCGTAATACCCCGAGTATAGCCGCACCGCGCGCCCTGTCAGTGAGTGATTACCGTAATAGCGCTAATATAGCCGCACTGCGCGCCTTGTCAGTGAGTGATTACCGTAATAACGCTAATATAGCCGCGCACCCTGTGAGTAACTACCGTAATAGCGCTAATATAGCCGCACACCCTGTGAGTAACTACCGTAATAACGCTAATATAGCCGCACACCCTGTGAGTAACTACCGTAATAACGCTAATATAGCCGCGCACCCTGCGAGTAACTACCGTAATACCGCTAATATAGCCGCGCACCCTGTGAGTGATTACCGTAATAACGCTAATATAGCCGCGCATCCTGTCAGTGATTACCGTAATACCCCTAATATAGCCGCACACCCTGTGAGTGATTACCGTAATAATGCTAATATAGCCGCGCACCCTGTGAGTGGTTACCGTAATACCCCGAGTATAGCTGCACTGCGCGCCTTGTCAGTGAGTGATTACCGTAATAACGCTAATATAGCCGCGCACCCTGTCAGTGAGTGATTACCGTAATAGCGCTAATATAGCCGCACTGCGCGTCTTGTCAGTGAGTGATTACCGTAATACCCCTAATATAGCCGCGCACCCTGTGAGTAACTACCGTAATAACGCTAATATAGCCGCGCACCCTGTGAGTAATTACCGTAATACTGTGTGTATAAACGCGCTGTACGCTGAGTACTTACCGTAACTACCTGAATATAACCGCCGCGCTCTGAGTACTTACCGTAATAACCTGTGTATAGCAGAGGGGGAGGGTGGGGGGGAGAGGGCAGCAAACCTTTTTGTCTTTTTTGTGGACCATGTTTCGAATGCAAGGATTGCTGACATGTAATGTTAATGGAATATGTCCTGTAATTTCCTGTGTAGTCTGGAAATCATGTTAGAATAGAATAATTGATACGAATGCAAGCACAGGGCCTCTCATAGAGATGGAGTTACACTGAACACCTTGCATATTCTTCAATAGCATCTAATGGAGTTAGAGAAATCGTCAGTTTTAGAGACCGTTCCTTTATGATCCATTAAGTAGCTGGTGCTATGCTCACGTTTTTATCACCAAGATTAATGACATTGAGAGGTATAGGCACACACATTCACATGTAGTGCTAGCAACCCATGAAGTGGCTCCGGGTTATATTAACACAGCCTTCCTTCTCCATTTTATGAAATAGGGAAAACGTGTACTATGAAAAGTGGCAATAGTATTACAAATACATGCTGGTATGTTTATAGTATTAAAGGAGCACTATAGGGTCTGGAACACAAATGTATTCCTGACCCTATAGTGTTAAAACCACCATCTAGCCCCCGTGGGCCCCTCATGCCTCAATAAATATAGCAAAATCTTACTGTATTCAAGCCTGAAGCTGTAGATCTGCATGCTGTTTGCCTCAGA